TACAGGAAATAGAATGTTTGATGAGTACACTTACCGGACGTACAGAAAATAGCATGCTCGATGAGTACACTTACCGGACGTACAGAAAATAGCATGCTCGATGAGTACACTTACCGGAAGTACAGAAAATAGCATGCTCTATGAGTACACTTATCGGACGTACAGAATGATTGATAAGGATACTTATCATCAGATTTACAGAAAATGCAATGCTTAATGAGTACATAACGTATAAGCACAGAAGATTTAATGTTTGATGTTTGCTGATTAAAGCACGTGCAGAAAATGCAATGCCTGACGAGTCCACTTTCTGGGCGCACAGAAAATATAATGAATGATGAGTACATTTAACGGAAGTGCTCAAATTATTATGTCCGATGAGTACCCCTTTTACATTTAAAGAACATTTCGAATTTGAACTGGACAATTTTTCGACGATAATAAAATGGTTTCTTTTGCGGTAACTCTCTTTCATTGATGGCGTAATCAGTTGTAATCAATGTAGATGGGTTGCATAATTTTGTTGTATTACACTTTCAACGTTATTGGTTTTGTGCTAGTAAAGACAAACCGTGGATTATCGACACACTGTTCCGAAACTATCGACTATAACGAAATTAGCATTAAAGGGTTTATAATGATACACAGGATATGCTAAATATTACCCATGCAGTGGATATAAAGCACATTACTGTGGTTCACTCAAACACTGTTCGTAAACATATTACCATGAGTCACTTAAGAAACAGAGCATCACACACATTATAACGAGTCATTATAATAGGGCAGGGGGTAAAACACACTATTTCATCAAGTAGGCAGATGTAAAATTAATTACCACGGGTTCATCCAGCATGGAGATGTATCATATATTACAATGAGTTAATAAAGTAGGCGGACGGATAATACATTACTTTCTATTAATCAAGGGATGCCATGCATATGACTAAGAGTCACTCAACAGGTTTATATAAAATACATTACCATGAATTATTCAAGGGGTTGGGGGAACATGTTACCTACCACGCATAACCATAGCAGGGGGATGTAAAATATGTTAATGTGAGTTGCTCAGACAGGCAGATTTTAAACACGTTGACACGATCACTATTCAAGCAGTGAAATAAAAACATGTTACCCTTACAGTAAGAGGACATAAAAGACATTACTACGAGTTAGACAATCGGAGTGATGTAAGACATAATACTACGATATAAACTGACCACTGGTCACTCAAGTGCGGCGATGTTGGTGAAGACACTAGTCAGTAATGATGATTAGAAGCTGAGCAGATGTTATTGTTTTTCAAAATATATATGCGAAAAACTGTGACGTGCCCGCTTTTAGATTTAAAAAATCGGAGTTATACATTACCTGGATTATGTTTTTCTAGAATTTGCTGATATTGTTTGGTCAAGTTCTCGTCAATCTACAGGCGTGTTATGTGCGCAGTTTCGAAGCTTCATGCAAATGCTTATTAATAAAGGTCTGGTCTTATACGATAATATGCCACGTACTCATTTATGATTCAAGTCAGTCTTATTTGATATGTGTCATGTATATATTTATAATTAAGGCCAGGTGTTGTATCTTTTTATGGATTGTGCTTTTTTGTTCTTGTTTTATATTCATACATACTTTGTTTTAGTTGAAATTAGTAATATTCTGTCTGAATTAACTTGATCAAATCAGACAGCTGCAATTAATTTTTTTAAGTCCAAAATTAATTGATGTTGGTAAATTAGATTCAAAGCCAGTTTAAATGTATAACAAATGTATTAGCGATATCTGTTTATCGGAGTTGTTGATATTATACAGGATTGCAGCGATACGGACTGTTAAATAGATCCCTTGAGGCTGTCTGTTTTATTGACTGACAGGATTTTATGGGACTTATGATAGTTAGTGAGGCTAAAGAGAGACTGGAATTTCAAACGTTTACACCATGCCATGTGAAAGAACTCAAATATATATCATTTATCCGTGAATGTTAAGTATCATGATGTTCGAGTCAATCAATATGTGCTTCACCGGTTGATAACGTTTCCTATTCACTTCAATAAACGTCAATAATTACATAGTATACTGTATACTCCACTGATATTACTGATATCATTATATTATATTATATTATATTATATTATATTATATTATATTATATTATATTATATTATATTATATTATATTATATTATATTATATTATATGATATTATATCATATCATATCATATCATATCATATCATATCATATCATATCATATCATATCATATCATATCATATCATATCATATTATATTATATTATATTATATTATATTATATTATATTATATTATATTATATTATATTATATTCGGTGTTGTTCTATTATTTTCAAAAATGTAAATAGTGCTATAACTTTATTGGTCAAATTGCGACAGCTTTTAATATATTGAAAATATTAGATGAAATAAAAGCTAATCAAGTACGTTTCTACCCCTTACTCAACAGCGTTTGCTTTTTACGTGAAAATGTATGTTAGAATCTTGGAGTTGGTATCGTGGTTATTGTGAATGTTTGATATTATGTTCTCATGGACAAAAATTTCTTACTGTCGGCACTTTCGATATTTTTTATCTTTCGCTTCTTTTAATTCTAAATAAAGAAACGTTTGACATAAATGTATTTGTGTTCTTGTATTTTGATATGCATTTGATGGAGAGTGACACTTAAGACAAATTGACAATCGATGTGCTGGTTTAAGTGATGTGGTTCAAACCCTGGCAGAGTCATACTAAAGACTTATAAAATTTCAGGGATTAAGATAAATGCAATAATCTGACAACCAAAAGTGCAAAACTAGCATCTAACTAGCCCTGCGCCCCGAATTAGTATTTTTTTAAGGCAAATACAAAATATAGACAAAACAAACTAATAAAATCGAAACATCGTTTTATTTGCAAAACTTTACATGGCTGTTTCTACATGAATTAAACATTTAAATTTATTATCTTTCTACAGTTTGTTTCAACTAACAAATATTTGTCAGCATCTTCAAGAAGATGATAAGATAATGCGCATATATCAACATTCCAGCGACCGTCTGCAGTTGATTTTAGATCAGTTATGGTTTTCCGCATATTAATCATGAGTGAGGTATGAACATAACAATAAAAAGTATTTATAATCCTCGTATTCTAAATGAATATAAAAGGATATACATTTTCATCACAATCATTTCTTTTATCGCCTTTACTCTCATACACAACAGATAAATGATGCAGAAATATGGAGTGAGAGAGAAAAGAATTTGGGCTGGATTGAAACCTAGAAAAAGCATGCCAGGTAGCCTACAAGAATAGTGTTCCTCGTAACCATACGCGTGCACTTTCCTTGGAATTTTATTTACAGTGTTTATAATTGATACAAAGTTGCAAATCAGGTCGCCATTATACCGTAAAATCCTCGGTTGTACACATACAATGATGTATTTTAATGGTATGTTGGTTGTTGTTTCTTAAACATATTATAATGTTCAAAAAATCGATTATTATTAATTAAATATGAAAATGTCCTAAAGCAATGCCTACTCTCTCTCTCTCTCTCTCTCTCTCTCTCTCTCTCTCTCTCTCTCTCTCTCTCTCTCTCTGGCTAATATCTATGAAATGACGCCCGAAAGTTAAGTCATCAAACCGACAAAAAAAATGTGCGTATATGTGTGTGTGTGTGTGAGAGAGAGAGAGGGAGAGAGAGAGAGAGAGAGAGAGAGAGAGAGAGAGAGAGAGAGAGAGAGAGAGATGATCTTAACTCTTTCCAAACTCGTGGCAATGACTAGAAAAACAAACATTTTGATCAGGCGGCAGCGGCAACGTTGGATTAATATCAAGCAGCCTTTCCTACTTATATAATATTTTTTCTTCATGTTTGCTTGTAGCTAAATCACTTTACGCTGACCAGTATAATGCATTACACCATTTTGTATTGTCTGTACATTGACTCCATAGTTTTGTGCATTTGCATGTGAATCGCTTGCTTTCTTACAAAAATCCTGACATTACCTCAACCTATGTGCACATACCATTGGCAGTTACATATATGATAAGTTCATGGTATCGCTCTGAATATTTTGTTCTTAACGGTGATCGTGAAGATCTCATATTCGCCGTCTCTACTGTCGTCGTTGTCTTTACTGTCCTTACTTTCTTTAGTGTCTTTAGTGTCTTTACTGTCTTTACTGTCTTTGCTGTCTTTTTGTCTTTAGTATCTTTACTGTCTTTACTGTCTTTAGTGTCTTTACTGTCTTTTTTGTATTTATTATTTTTAATGTCTTTACAGTCTTTACTGTCTTTACTGTCTTTACTGTCTTTACTGTCTTTAGTATCTTTACTGTCTTTACTGTCTTTAGTGTCTTTAATGTCTTTACTGTCTTTAGTGTCTTTACTGTCTTTACTGTCTTTACGGTCTTTAGTGTCTTTACTGTCTTTACTGTCTTTAGGGTCTCTAGTGTATTCACTGTCGTCGTTGTCTTTACTGTCTTTACTGTCCTTACTGTCTTTACTGGGTGTGTCGCATTCTTCAGAGTAGTTAATGGCCTTTATTGACGACATAGTTAACATCAGCGGCTTAAAGCTTTCTCTTACATGTCAATCTTAATCGTACATTCATCACAGTTTACGCCGTGCGAGTTCTCCAGATGCATGTTTTAAAAATCATACAGCACTTCGAGTGGCGTTTAGGATAACTCGACATGACACGTTTAGGCTAAAGTGCGATTCATTTGTATGTGAATTCACAAAAGAACTATTTGTAAAGAAAATTTACTCCGGCGAGTTCTATCACGAAGCTGTCAGTAGTAATAATAAAGATGTGATGTGATTATTATTTTTAACGTAGCTTTAACATGTAGTATGATGTCCCACCCATTCACATTATACTGACACCAGGACGACCAGTCGTAACACTAACCTCTTAATGCTAAACGTCAAGCGAGGCAGCTGTTGGAACAATTTTTAAGTTTTTGGTA